ATGAGGGCCTTAATTTCAACTTTGAGACTGAGGTCCTAATTGTCATATTTTATTGCCGTGTTTAACATATTAAAACTCGCATTGTTTTTCTGTACCCTACAGGCAATGTTACGTTACAACTAGGGTACTAAAGGGCTTATGCTTATTAGGAACCCTTACCGCCTTGAAGAATACAGCCAAAGCATTTTATGAAAATTGCGAAAAAGTTATCCAGACTCACCGGCTGCTTTTCCAAATGCCCTTTGAAATGGAGATTCGACTCCGAGCATTTGTCCCGGTTCTGTCTTTCCACAGAACCTCTGGACATCACACAGCGTTTGGGCGGACTTCTCCCCTTCAAGTTTGCACGATTCGGATAAAATCTGCAGTAAAAAACGTCAAATAAGATGGTGTAGCTGACTCGCTGATTTGCCTCAAAAATAGCAAAGGTGAAGGTTAACGACAATGACTCGGAGTGCATTTTCCAGCCCAATGCATTTTTATTAGAGGAAACATAAGCGAATGCCTTTGAGGTCCTGATTGGTTAAAAATGCCTAGGAAATGTATGGATACAAAAGAAAAAAATATCACAACTGCATACCTGTAGAAGCGAATTGACCAGCTGTTTATTAGTTGAAATTGTAATAATACATGGCTATTCACTAACGACGAGTAGTATAAAAATTATGTATAATTGTCTGCCACTTGCGTTAGCAAGTACCCAGTGAATGGTATGTTAGATGCATGTCCAATTTTCTCTGAAATTTATTCACACAAGGTGAAAAGTCGTCTACTTTCGGTCGCAAATGGTCTTACTACCTGCTCCGCCTAAAACTTATCGTCATAGAACAAAAAAGATGATCTGCTCCGAACGAATTGCCCACTAATGGGCGCGAAAGTTTGCATTCTTGGCGTTTAGATGAGTAAATTAGACGACGGGTCGAACACCACACCAGTTAGTTTATTGTTCCGCGCTTTCAGACGCCTATGAGGGTTCATTATCAGGGTGATAACAATAAAAGACCTACTAAATCGCAAAGAACAATCTGGGCAGTCTACTGTATATCATTTCGTTGTAATAACATTGGTCCAACTGAAAGCATGCTCGCATCGCGCTTGCATGAAAATAAGTTGGCTGTGCTGTGGGGTGGGGTGGGGTGAGGAATTATTGCGTTTGCCACCCAAACATACGAAGGGAGCTATGAGTTCAACTTCGCGCCAGCCAAGAAACACCGGAAACAAGATGAACCGAGAAATTCGTACATACTGGAACACACGCATTCCAAGAAATTTTAACATGAAGGCGATGTTTATTGGGATACAAACTCAATCACTCGATGCATAGATTAAGCGCCGGCGAACAGGGCCCTGCGCTGTCACCTCCGAACTTGCATAACTGATAAATGATTGGTTTTCGCCCCCTATAGTTGTCGTCTTTTTGTTACTGCTGTTGCTGCTGCTATCTCTTACGATAAACTCCTGCACGAGTTCGAAACTCAGAACAATAAGTAAACAGCGCCTGTGCATGACCAGTCTCCTCCCTTACGTTTAGTTTATTCATTTTTGTGCGATTCGAAAAGTATAAATTTCGAAGCTAACAAGGCACTCGTACAGAACAAACGTTTAGCTAGTCTAGCATCTAATTTTACTCAAAAGAGCAAGCAAACAACGAGCATGCAACCGTGTCCCACCTCCTGAAATATTAACTGAAATTTTTTGCAAACGTATTCAAATGGTACGGATTACTAAGATGAGACTAAAAACAGATTAGATTGGGGACACGCAATTTCAGAAGGCGGCATGCCGGCTTCCGTTTTGGCCCGTTTTTTGCAGTTCTTTATCTGAGCTGATAGAAAATCATGGTAGGGTAAGTTAGCCACCTCCGTATTCCAGCTAATCTTATATTCAAATCCAAGGGTGTTCAGGTTGATGACTGAGTAAGGGTTAAGGTCGAGACTGATCGGTTAACCGCCACATAAATTTTACGGTCCCCTATGTTGGGTTAAGGACATTCTTATCAAAGGATAGTCACGACACGGAAAATCAGGGCCCTCAACCGACGTATCCAGGCGACAGGCTGCGGCGAGGCGGAGGGAAGCCAAACAAACATTGACACCCTAGGTGTAGACAGTCACAACACAGAGCAATGCGCGATGGGCGGTTACCGGGCGGCTGGTACGGCGAAACGTTACCATCCAGAGATGCGACCTATGCAGAGCGGCTCGAATTGGATTTG